GACCGCCTCTTCCCTGACTAAAGGGAAGTCTTCCATTCCCCAGACCTTCTCACTAACCACCAGGGCCTGGTGGACAGTCACAGGTTTGTTGACTTTTTTTTTTTTTAATCAGTCAGTAAGAATATTATGCTGACATGACTTAGCTGAAGAAATGAGAAACTTGTTATATTGTGATTTGAACATTACTTGGGATTAAATAATAGAACTGGAAAACACTGAAGGGAAACTTAATATATCCCAGCTGAGTAAATGGGGCAGAAACTGAGATGCTTCCTTTCTGTTCTCTCCTCATTGTGCAGTTTATACCATCTTTACTAAAATACCACAACAGAATCCTCTGAAACTTGCATCTCTTCCTGCAGTATCAGCCTAAAAGTGTAAGCAGGTGGAAGTGACAGTGGTCTGTTTGGGCTGGTTGTCACTGGTTACTTGCAGCTCATCTATTTTGGTTTCTGTTTGAGTTTGATTTGCAAATACTACTTCAATGTAAAACCAGCTGTATGTGAAAAATGTGCCCTGCATTGCAACTCTATAAATATCACGTAAGAATAAAAATTAATGAAAGATGTGATGTGTAACTTTTCTTGCAGTGTGCGTTAGAGTACAGATTTATCTTCAGATCCTTTCTTTGAAGGCTTTTTGGCTTACTTTCTTGATTATAAAGTTGTATTGTTTGAACTGTTGAACTGTTTTGGTTCAGTTTAGGCACCAAAACGGAAGCCTTGAAGATTACTCTTATTGTTCTGAAACCTTTTGCATATGGATGGTAGTTACTCTGTACACCAGTATGTGTTCACACTCTGGAAAAAAAAAAAAGTGTGCTACCCAAGCTTAATTTCTTGAATAGAGTTATCTTGCTGTTCGTAATAGTTATTCTGTTCCATGGTCTTTTGCAGTTCAGGATGACAGTGAAGTGGGCAGATATCTTCTATCACACTGTTGTTTATACACCCATAATAGTTCACAGAATCACTGAAGGGGTTGGAAGGGACCTCTGGAGGTCATCTAATCCAAAACCTCTGCTAAAGCAGGTTCCCTGCAGTAGGATTGATGCACTGGAATGTTTCCAGGCAAGTTTTGAATATCTCTGGAGAAGCAGACTCCACAGACTCTCTGGGCAGTGCTCTGTAACTCTCAAAATGAAGAAGTTTTTCTTCATCTTCAGGTTGAACTGCCTGTCTTCCAGTTTGTTCCCATTGTCCCC